GGGGCTAAATAAAATTAATTTCTTCCTCTAAAGAGGGGGGCGGCTTATTAGAGGGGGGCAATACCAGAAATATCTCACCAGAAGAGCAGTGCATGTATAAATAATCTTTGGTAAGTTATCTGTAAATCAGAACACAGATAGAGGTAAGACTACAAGGGGGGGGCTAAATAAAATTAATTTCTTCCTCTAAAGAGGGGGGCGGCTTATTAGAGGGGGGCAATACCAGAAATATCTCACCAGAAGAGCAGTGCATGTATAAATAATCTTTGGTAAGTTATCTGTAAATCAGAACACAGATAGAGGTAAGACTACAAGGAGAGCTAGTGAAGAACAGGCAATCAAATAGCCAATCACTTTTTCAATATTATCATTTGTTCCTTATTCTCTCTGTTTTAATCAAGCTAGGTTTCTTCTCCTTGTCATCGTTATCACCAGACTCTGACCCTTCTCTTAAAAGTTTTTCTCTCTCTCCTCATTCTCTCCTGTGAACTAAACTATTTTGTTTTGCCCTGTTTCTCTCATCTCTGAGTTACAGTAACCTTTTCCTCTGTTGCTCTGTATCCAAGCTGACATCCCTCCTTTGTGAAACCATAATTATTGTCTTCATCCATAAACCACTTAATAATTATTACCTCTTTTGAAAAGCATGAAGAGGATTACATCTCCTCATAATTGACACCAGTTTGAACACCAGTCCTTTCTTTTTGTTCACCAGGGATCATCCGGAAGAACAGGACTCCCAGGAGGACTTGGTGCCCCTGGTCCAGTAGTACGTTAACTAAGATGAAATCTTGTTAGAGTTTTGTATTTTACAGGAGAGTTTCATGAAGAAAAATCATTAAATGAGACATTAATTTGCAAGCTCATGCTGCATCAACCAACTAGTAAACTAATAGTAGATTGTAGTGTTCTGCTTTCTTTTCTTTCCCAAAGAGTTTTCACCAATTTTGAAGTACATGTTAGTTCAAAATGTGCTTTGGAGTTAACTTTAGTATCCACAATTTTCTCTGTCAAAGTGGATAAAGATATATGCATACCAACTCATTTCTTTAATGTATAACACACATGGATATTTTTTGGGGTGCTTGACATTTCTCTGAGTCCCAAAGAGTGGAAAACATTCAAAGAATGAGCAGTATTTTATTTTATTACACGACTCGGGCAGTCAGAGGGCCAATAACTAAAATCAACCAATCAAAATGCTCTATTGCTGGTCCAATATTCTCTTAGTATTGGACTGGGCACTGTCCCGATTGGTCCCGAATGATACCACACTTGTGTCCCTTTGAACTTAATTCAGTCGTATAATAAATCTCTTATTAACCAAGCTTGCTTGGGACCGTACTGGAAGAATGTCAGCCCTTGGTCTTTTACGGCGCTCGGTCCGTACTGTCAAGACCTTGGGCTGATATTCTCCCAGTACGGCCCTCGCGCTTGGTTAATAAGATATATGTCTTACATTTTACATGTTCTCTTGGCGCCAATTGTGTAATGACAGTAGGGTGGAATACATTAAGTAAATCTGTGTAATTCTTGGCTTGACTTGCATGAATTTGTTTTTTAGGGTCCTTCTGGCAATCGAGGTTATTCTGGTGCAGAGGGAAGGCAAGGAGTAAAGGTGAGCTGACCTTATGAAATGGGCAGAGAGACAAACAAATCAAAAATGTCATGTGTAAACCCCTTGAAATGATTCTGGCATCGCTATTCCCCAATGAGAGTCTGAAGGACAAGTTTACTACAAAAATAGTAGTTGTTTATCAACATTGACCTTGTACTGTCTTCAATAAGGGGTTCTCTTAATGGTTTGCTCTTTGTTTCGATCATTTTTAGGGTGACAGTGGTAGAAATGGAGAGAATGGACGGGATGGAGGAAAAGGAGAACAAGTAATTTTATGAGTGGTTTTTGTCGACATGAAGTTGTTTTTCTTTTTTCCAAGGGAGTTTATACCACACCATTTTGAGAGTTAGAACCCAGTTTACATGATATATAGTGTTGTCAAGCGACTGAATTTACAGCCCTATCCTACCGTACAACAAACTCCTCTCTCCTCGGGTACACAAACTTCTCAGAGTAAACTCTTTTTTCCCTTTGTTATAATTAAACTTTATCAGTGTGATCTGGATACGCCCCTTTGAGTAGCATGGAAACGTGCTGTTGTACCCGACATTTTGTGACAAGGAGTCATTTTACTGTGGCATGAGATAATTAAGAACATTCAAGTGTATGTAACAGTGAACTCTGACGACAAGGAAAAAATATCTTACAGCTGTTTAAGTACTGGATTGCTGAGTTGCATTTGAATATGTGGTAATTATTGACCTCTTTATTAAGGGATTACAAGGGGAACCTGGAAATCCAGGCCGACCAGGACCTCGGGTAAGCAATAAAGCTGACTAGCATTTATCAATGTAATTAAGCGCACTTTGACAGAATTATTGAATTGTTCAAAGGGCAGATAACATTATCCAACAGGTAAATTGCTATTCACTGCATGTGTCAACAAAACAAAATGTACTCTGGATTGTACCAATGGATAGAGAATTATCCAGTGGATGGCATTATCCACCCTTCAAACAACCAGGGCATATTTAACAATTATTCACCTCAGGTTCAGTGAATATCGTCGAATAATCTCCGAGACAAAGTCGAGCGGATTATTCGACAATATTCACTGAACCCGAGGCGAATAATTGTTTTAGTATAATTTCAGAGCTGAACAACAGAGAAATTTCTAAAATCATAACATTTTAGTAACATTAATAACAAAGTTACCTCTAGGTGTGCAACTGTTCACACTTAAATTGACTCCACAAAAATCAACAACTGTAATATGCTCTATTAATTTGAATGCCTGGTGTCCAACAGACTGCTGCCCACTATGCATATTCAGTATAATTTCAGAGCTGAGCAAAGAGTTTCCAGCAATCTGATTGGTTGAGCGGTTCCTTACATGACACTATATAAACCGCTCCATGTGGTTTATATAAAATGTTAAAATAAAAATGTTAACCTACTGATATCTTGTCTCACTGCACATGTTATTAGTTCATTTCCTCCTTTATTTTGTTTGCCTGCTTACTTGAATAGTTTACTGTTAAGTTTGTTGTCAAGTGTTGTTTTCTTGAGATAGCAGGTTTACCATTCCTTCTATTGCCACAAGTCCTTTGTGTTAGGTTTAAATTTGGTTAGTTTATGATAAAACAGTATTTTGAACATCAATAATTTGGTTGATAATTGCCGAACTTGGTGGTTTCATTACGTTTAGGGAGACAATGGTGCTGCGGGAAAATCAGGAAAGTCAGGCTCTCAAGGAATTCCGGTGGGTCAATAAAAGCAGTATTATCGTACCTTCTCTTACATTTTACTTACAGACAATAGATTTTAAATATGTAGAAGTGACATCAAACCTACAGACAATAGTTTTAAGTGCTCTTGTCTTTACAAGTGCTGCTCAAGAATGTGCACAATAAAACAATTATTGGATTCTGTTTTTGCAGGATAGCAATAATTATCAAGGCCTCAGTTTGTGTTATCCGTCTTGGCCTTCAGCATTGATAATTATCGCTATCATGCTCCACCTCATTCAATAATTGTTAATTATAATGCAGTTGTAGCAGTGAGTGAACTGAAATTCAAAGAGTGGTTGGATTTACTGATTAATTTTCAAACTGACAGAGCAAGCAGTGTCACCTTTAGGCTTATTTGGGATTCTGTGTAGCACACTGACAACTTAACTTACAGCTTAATAAGGAGACACAAGGTACTAAAAGTTAATGTTATCAAGTACATATCCGTAGGGAAACATCTAGAAGATATTTTTTTCAAATTTGAGGAAGTTTTTTTTTTATTGTGTTTGGTTTACAAACACAGGGATTTACATAGAAATTTATAATGCAGTGTAAGGAGCCTTTATGTATACTTAGAAGTTTATGCTAATTATTTTGCTTGTCTTTGTGAATGGCAACAGATGTTTACAGGAAATAGGTGAAATATTTTTTGCTATAAAAACTGTAAAAGGTTTGACCATGCTTTGGTACAACACAGTTTGAATGTTGATTGTGGATTTGTAAAACATCTGCAGTTAACAGAAAATAGTCAGTTGTAAGTCACACCAAGGTCTCAGCTCAGCTTAGTTCTCTGTTGGGTGTGTACAGTTATACCACAGATTCCATAATATATGAAATTGGCTCTATGACAGGCAATATTTGGGCTAGCATTTGTTATCTCCTTATTTAGAGTTTATAAAATGTTGCAATTTCTTTATGCAAAGTAGTATCAGGATCTTGACTCAAGATAATTATTTTTATTTTACTTAGGGTGTTGATGGAGAGGATGGTACCCCTGGAATACCTGGAGTCCCTGTATGTTAACTTTCATTTTATTGTAAATTGTCAGTTTTTTGTACCTCAGCCAGGTAGAACTTGTATCTTTCCACTTATAAAGTTATTGACTATTGAGTGAGATACGCTCACAAAATTGAGATACCCTCACAAAACTCATGGCTTGATTGTTCAACAGTTTGCATTTGTGAGTTTGTGTTTTGCTAAAAATGTTCTTTTGGGATTGTGCCATTCTTGTTTGAAATCCCAGCCAGGATTTTGGATGCTGCCTTTATTTCTGGAGGGACCCATCCAATCACATTAAGTATCCCGACTTTTCTATATGAGATCAAATAACGTACCATCAGGGTTGGAACCAACCTTTCTCTGGTGGGATCACAGGACATTCTGCTTTTGATCCTTCTAGGTCCCTGCTTGGAATATATCCCACTGCATTCCCTTATATATCCACTGTGGATATCTTGGGTTCCTGTGGGAACTTGCAGAGGTTTTGTGTTCCATCCCAGATTTTGTTGTTTGGTGTTCTTTATAAATGTCAAGGGGGGTGGGGAATTAACCTGTGTTTGGTGGTATCCTGGCTTTGCTGCTTTACATGTAGATCGTACGTGTATACAGACTTACTGTATTATCGTGATATGGAACAGTTTAGATAATAGCCTCAAACTCTGTATTTCTTCTTGTGATTTTAAGCGTAAACTTAGAGCCAAATTACTTGCTGCTTTCCTTTCTCATCGCTCTTAGTTGTAACTTTGGCGAACATTTATTAATATTTTAGCTTCCTTAATTTTTTTATTATACATTTTAGTATTGTAATTTTTAGTTCACTGTCACCGAAAAACCCTCTTTAGGGAGTGTCAATAAAGTTTGTATTGTATTTTATTGTATTGTATCCTGTTAAGTCCAGCTGGGAATCTGGAATGTCAATATGGGACCCCATCAAACATCTGTCGTGGGATAGGTGGAATTCCAGACACGATTTTGGTGGGATTTTGTGTCCTATCTGTGATGGGTTGTTATTTATTACAGCTGCAGCAAATCTAGTCATTTGATAATGCTTAACTTACACCTCTGATCAATAAGTCAAGTGGTGCTCAGTTGTGATAATGTTCATCATTTTCTCTTCCAGGGCCCACAAGGTGCACCAGGAACACCAGGTTTCTCTGGTCCTAAGGGAACAATGGTGTGTTTCATGTCATTGATGCTATGGACAGTTTTCAGTTCATATTACATGGATATTTTGTCGATCATTTACGTATAATTTAGTGTAGGGCTGATATTGCTCCTAAGGGGCCCAGAAAGTTATTGCAACAGAGTTTGCGCCGAAAGACATGGAGTAGTTATTTCAAGAACGTAAAGGGATAGCATTGTGCTTATTACCATAATTAAGGGGCAATATGATGATCCAGCTGTGGGATTTTGATCAGCTCAGCCATCATGGAAAGCGAGTCACTAAACATATCAAGAAAAGTGGTAAATTCTGAACGGGTCGTCATTTGAGATATGTTTGTGAGACATGACATGTTTGTTGCATAGCTTAGTGTGGGTGCTACATGCCTCATTGGCTATCAACTTTCTCGTATGTACATAGTGTGCTTCTAGATTAATTGATTAAAAAAAAGCGTTGAGGCTACCTTTGAGCAATGTAATTGAAGTTCATTTATTTTCAGGGTAACAATGGAAGAGATGGAAGCACTGGAGAACGAGGAGCAGATGGTGTTAAGGTAAAGGAGTATGCTGTGTATCTGGTAATGGTAATGGTAATGGTTTATTAGATATGAATTCGGCACTAAAATGAAATACTTCATATTTACAAGAAATTACAAAAAATATTTACAAATTAAATGAGACTATATAAATAAAAAATTTTGCCGGGGGACTGGGTTACCGGCTCACAAGATTCTATTCACAAATTATTACAAATGTGATATAAGTCTATTGCGATAATTCATTAAGCTTTGACGTCATTGCGGGAAAAAAACTTATTTGAAATCGTTTTGTCCTGCATTTAAAAAGAGTCAAGTTATTGCTGGAGCGCAGCTGGCGGCCGTGTGCGTCTAGTCTTTTCTGTGGAAATAATGATGACAACTGTGAGTTTTTAATTTTCTTGAACTGTTCGAGGCAAAGACGTTCCCTATTTTCTTCCAGTGTGGGGTAATTCAAAACATTACATGCAGGTCTGTAAGAAATGAGTGGTTCGATTATCCTGAAATCTCTTTCAGATTTTATTTTTAATGGTGCATTGTCCTTTCTCGTAAAGGGCTCCAACTAAGAGCCGTCCTCTTGAGGCTGTTTGCAGGTCTTTGTTACTCATGAAAGATTACCTCGTCTTCCCGGCTATTCAAGATCTGGCTGTCTCACTGTTGACTCATGACAAAATGGCTCGTTGTGGCCAGCTAGAAGAGTTTGACACATTAATAAAGTTGATTGATTGAATGTTCATCGGTTGACAATCACTTCCATAATTTTTGCGAGTTTTTCTCGTTCGCTCTACACGTCTCTTTATTATTCTGAATAAATGATCTGGCAATTTACCAAAATATTTTTCATTTGATTGTAGTTATCATAAATTTTAAAGTCTAGTTCTAGTATTACAGTTTCATTCATGTCTGAAAGAGTGACACATCTGTAACCTATTGAGCTCCAGTTTCTCTTGACTGTAACAATTTCTTTCAACAGGGTGAACAAGGTGCTACAGGAGAGATTGGTAAACCTGGAACACCAGGATTGGCGGTAATGAACAAGATATTTTATTCCACATAGTACAGTACACGCTAAATGGGAAGGGGTAAGGGAGGGGAGAGTAAAGCCTCCGATAAAGGAAGTCATTAATAAAGGAAAAACTTAATCCTAAGAACAGACCTTAAGTTAAGGCTACAGCACACAAGTTGAGTACAAGATATTTGTATATTTGTATGAGTTACAGTGTTCAGAGGTGCTAGTTAATTAGGCAATCGACCTGATCCAAGCAATATTAATGCATTTGTGCGATTTTCTAGGAAAATCAATTGCGTGACTCGTGAATTCCGCGTTAAATTGCATGCACAAATTGATATCGCGATTCGTGCGATATCAGTTTTACTAGTAGGTTTCAGCAAGTTTCTCATTTTCTAAGGGTAGAGAATGTGCAATCTTTGTTTTAACCCCTAAATAGGATTTGTTCATTTTAAAGCAATTTCTTTGAATATCTGTCCATTAATGGTAGTTATGTAGTCCATGAATTCTTATGACTAGGAATGACTTTTTCCTCAGGGTCGACAAGGTTTCAGGGGAGACCCTGGTGCTCAAGGAAGCGCGGGAGCATCGGTAAGAGAATACTGATAGTAGACACTATTGTGGGGGTGGGGCAGAGATTAGAGAGAATAGAGTGCTCAATGAAGGCATGACTATCTGAGGGGGACAATTGAAACATGTGACACATATGACACTACAGACAAAATCAGCCCCAAGCATGGAGAGCTGACCTTTTCCACTGCCAGCCAACTCATCATCAAGTTAGTGGGCATTTCGGCTCTTAAAGTATATTCTTGTAAAAAGATGGAAGAAACTGATATGACCTCGGGCAATAATAAAATATGGGTTCCCTTGAGGATACCAACCACAAAACTTGTTACTCTTTTCTCAAACTCTCAACCAAGTGAACCGTAGAGAACTTTTTGGAAAGTTATGCGGTATACTTGGTTCAATTTTAGTAAGTGTCCATTTTACGTGAGATTCAGCAATGTTAAACGAAACACGAGCGGAGAAAGATGTTAATTCTCTGCTTGAGTGGGAAAAAGGGTTGTGGAGCTTAAATTAAATACATTACTTTTTAAGGGACCGCCTGGTATTCAAGGACTCCCCGGTGCATCTGGTAAACTAGGAAGTCCAGTAAGTATCTTATCAGATCGTTTTGGTTCTAAGGGAAGTAGATTTATGGAAGACTTCAGCACTGTATTCGATCTTTAAAAGATCTGTGAAATGTGGAAGTGTCTGAGGAGTCGAGAGTTTGACAGAGGTTTTCATCTTGAGCAATATTTTCATTTATTTATTTTTAATATTTAGACAGGCTGGCCTTGTTCAGCTTTACAGCTGGTTGAAATGGGGGCTTCTATAACGTATAACAAGGCTAGTCCACCACACTGGAAGCCACATTCCCTAATCTTTGCGTGCCTTACTAACCAGTACAGAGAAGATGCTGGGGATGGGCCTACAATTTATTCTTCTTATCCGAGAAGACTTAAAACTTCTAACCATTTTTAGATGTCATAACAAAGGCAGCCAATTCTCCTCAGTTATTTTAAAAACCCTGAGTGTTGGTCTGGTTTGGGGCTTGAACCCTCTACCTCCCGCACGGCAATCCAGCGCTCTACAACATGAAGTAACCATTATCACTGATATGAAATATGGTATATAAATATCATTTATGCCGTTTTGAAAGTTGGGCCCACTTGCCATCCTGCAAAACCCTAACTTGCAAGGTATCAAAATTGTCCTACAGTACAGGTTAAAAGCGTTTTTTCTCGTTTTAGGGATTCCCTGGAACGCGAGGCAAAGATGGTTCACCAGGATTACAGGTAACTAGTTATTTTTACGGTCCAAATGTTTGAAAGAAAGTATTTCTTCAAAAAAGAGTTATGGAGGGAATAAGGAGGATTGTTAGAGTTTAATTCTGACGTAAGCGTCTAGGTTGCCCTCAAAAGTAAACAAGATAATTTTGTTTAATCAACTGAGTTGATAATGTAGATTGGCCACCGTAAATTAAGACTTCTATAACATTTGCCATTTGTGAGAGTGCTCTGAAATGACCTTGTGTCGTTTGTCGTTAAAGATCCAACAGAGGTCTTCAAATCTTCCAGGGGTATAAATTACACTTTCAATAAATTTATTCCTTATTAAATAGTCCAGCAGGTACGTAGAAAAAAAGAAAGGAACTTCACAGTGGAGGAAGGAATAATTATAATTATATCTAATATAAGACTTACATCCCTAATTTTGTTTTCGCATTAGGTAAGTTTTGAAAGAAGAGTAGTCAAAACCTCAGAGTTTATCTAGCGGCTGATGTCTTCTGTTTCTGTAGATAATTTTAGCTTTGAATAATAACTATTAATTTATTATTATCTCTTAGGGTGAACGTGGACCAAGGGGAGAACAAGGTCCTATTGGACCTCAGGTAATTACATTTAATTTGATGGCCCTTTAGGATATCAATCAACTCTTAAAAAAATGCACATTGTGGTATTTTGCTAGTAAAGGCAAAAGAATAACAAAAGAGAGATGAATGCATTGGGAATATTATAGGTATTTTCAGGTATGCCTTGCATTTTAACGACTAGGATGTTAGAAATAGTGTCAGATGAAGATGACTTGTTGTAATAAGAAACGGCTGAAAATGTACACTTTTCACGGATACCATCTTAGAAGTTTAATGCAAATGTGATGGAGATGAAGTAATTTTTGTTACCTCTTTGGGACAAGGGTAAAAATCTGAATCCCAGCCAAGAGCAATTGTGCAATTTGATACCAGCTTTATAACTAACTGGGCTACCGAAACCTTGTTTCTCAACAAGGCCTTGCACTAGCCACTAGGTTCTAGGTTTACACAATAACCTGGTTTATTCTTGCTGTTTGTTACAGTGACTTGTTTGACTTCTCAGTTCTCTTAGCCCTCTTTTGTCATCGAGAAATTCTAGAATCTCCTCATCCTACCCAAGCATGATCCTCCGAGCACACTTTAATGTGAAGTAATGTCCTGTCATTAATCAGAAGGTGAACAATTTCTTCTAGGGAGCTCCCGGCATTGAAGGCGAGAATGGCTTACCTGGATCTGATGGTTTGCCGGTAGGTATACGTTACGTCTTCCTCATTTGTATTTGACTGAATCTGATACAACATCAGCACAGAAATATGCTAAGAGGTGTGAAATCCAGACTAAAAGTTAATTGTATCGTTACGTGATTGTTCAGCTGAGAGCAATCGTCAAAGAAGTGATGACTTCGGCTTGGTTGTCAAAGCAATCGTCCAGTTATTTGTGAGCTGATCAAGAGGAGTTGGAACTTATTCTTAGAAATTCTGCTGAAACAAATATTTGTCTTCGTGCATAGAAATAATGTGGAGTAATTGTGAAAAATTTCTCTTCTGTTTTCGACAGGGAGACAGAGGAGCCCCAGGAGCCCCCGGTGGACCAGGTCCTGAAGGGGGACCGGTGAGGAGATAAACAGAATGCTTGTGACTTTATATATTGATACAAGTTGGTACATTAAGCACCACGGGTTTTTTTTTTTTAACCAGAAGTCAACATAGGACTGCTCTTTGTTCAGGATCGATCAGTGACAAACTGGTTGAAATATGATTTTTTGCGCCATATCTAGGTATCTGCAATGCACTTCCACCGTAGTTGGAGTAACACGTGCTCGTGTTCTATTCGTTTCAGGGTTTGCCAGGTCTGCCTGGTCGAGCAGGATTCTCTGGAGCTAAGGGTAACTTTGTAAGTGCCACAGTTGTTTGTTTGTTATTCCGGTGAAGAAAAAAAATGCTTTGTTCTATCTCAAGATTGCATGTCTTCTTTTTTGCGGTCTTGTTTTAGGGTGAGAAAGGCAATCAAGGTTCTACTGGAGAAGCTGGTAGAGATGGTGACCCGGTGAGTTATGCTCTCAATTTGTGACGAGTGCATCATTGTTTGCAGTTGTGGATGCGGTGTTGATAATGCGGTGGCCAAGTGGTCATGGCAATAGACTAATTTAAGGTCCATTTCAGTGCCCATTGCTTTATTAATAAAAGGTTTACTGCAGGCCTATTGCGTGTCCTCTGCGGGTCCATTGCAGGTCCACTGCAGGTCCATAGTATTGTACAGATGTCCAGTTTGTAGTTCTAGTCGACTCATTGTGTCGTGTGCTCGGGCATTACTCTCTAGTCTCAAATCGTCACTCTCTATCGGGATTGTTAACTCGCCACGGACTGGGAGGAGTAGGGGTACTCTTAATCATTTCATGCTATTAAAACTGGTATACCCTTTGGAACGATGGACCGTCTGGATCCTAAGCTGACATAACCTTTACCTTGCAGTACATGAAATTACCCTCAGTCAGATTCAACAACTGTCCCGACTGATAGTCATAAACAAATTTTATGGAAAAGAAAAATAAAAATGACGTAGATGGTTGAATTTGGGTACTATAGATACGCGCCCTGGAAGTGTTAAGAGGAATTGTGTAGTTTTGGAGAGCGCTTCCTTCCCGGCAGCATGATTTGTGTATCTTTATGGTAATATTATCTTGACGTATGTCTGCCTTTTTGAGAAAATCATCTTCAAAAACTGTTTCATCATTTTGCTTCAATTTAGGGTGGCGATGGTGCCCCGGGAGCTGTTGGTCAACCAGGTCTGCCAGGACCTAAGGTGAGTTTGTTCAACTAACTTTTATAACTAAATTTCGAACTAAAATTCTCGCACAGTGAATACCCTTTTTTGACGCAAATAGAAGGCGGCGGAATTTTTTATTGACGACCCAACGAAACGCTTACAAACGGAACATACTGGAGACTTTGGTTGTAACCCAAAAAATAAGTTTGAGCAATTTTAAATTGAATGTCCCAAATAATCGGGGATTACACTGGTTTTGCTCAACGTTGATCTGTGACTGGTCCAGAAAACTAACTCGCAACTAATCAGATGCAAAGCTAAAACCAATCACGACATGGTTTAGGGATTTTGCTCGTTCTCATTGGCTCTTTACGGTGTGACATCTATGCCTTTCATCTGATTGGCTGTTGTGATTACTTTAAGCTTTGAAAAGTCGAAAAGCGGTCTGTATGTGCAACGTTAGTCACAATCCTAACTTTCTTACAGGGCACAGACGGATCACCAGGAGTCCCAGGAAGACGAGGAGATCGTGGGGCGACGGTAACCATCACAATGAGGTTGAATTAGATTACGAAAGCAATATGCCACATACGTGTTCTTTGGATGCAGCGTTTGGCCTTTGTTAAGTTGTTTCACGCTTGAATTTTTTTCTTTTAGGGAGGCCGTGGATCACTTGGTTCCCCTGGAAGTCCAGGAATTCCTGGATCCCCGGTGCGTTCTGACCAAGTATTATAATTTCAATTCGAGAATAAACTTAAAAAAGACATTACTCCTGGACCTTGTCCTTTATTCCGGAAGCTTATTTTTGTTTCTACTCTGACTTGATGCAATTTGTATTTTCCAGGGACCAACTGGCTCCCAAGGACTTCCTGGAGCAAAAGGAAATGCAGGCGAAAAGGTAAAGTTTTGAATCCCTGATGGGCTCACGGTATTTGGAATTACTGTTTAAGTTGTCATTTTCTTATTGTAGGAAAACCAAACAAAAAAATTTAATTTTCCGCTCTAAACTTCGTATGGAGACTGGTTAGTCTGTGGTAAACTACTTAGTGGGCGTACTACACTAATTTTCTTGAATTTAGGTGGTCGTTTACAGGGGCGTCGATTTTGATAAAAAATTAGTTTTTGACATGTGAAAAACCTTTTATGGGAATCCTGAAGACAATAGATACATATAACTGACAGAAATATCTCTATTTCATACATACTGTACTGAGATTTACACTGTGAAATACTCTTGTTCGTGTCTCTTAATTCAATCTCACCGTGTATGAATTAAAAACATCATACAACGGAAAGTGCACACATACGGTTTAAAAAATCTCACCGTCTATGAATTAAAAGCATCATACAACGGAAAGTGCGCACATACGGTTTAAAAAATCTCACCGTGTATGAATTAAAAACATCATACAACGGAAAGTGCGCACATACGGTTTATTCCATTCGCTGCGATGCATTAAAAACTCACTTGTTTGCTGCGCTCACGCGTTCGTTTTTTTATGCATCGCAACTCGTGAGTAAAATCGTTCGTGCACACTTTCAAAGGAATAATCTCTATCTGTGGGAATCCTGAAGACAACAGATGCATTTAACTTATCGCGATTTCTGTTTCATATGGAAATTTAACGCTCTTTTGCAGGGTACGAAAGGAGAGGAAGGCGCAGTGGGAGCGAAGGGAATAGCTGGAGACTTGGTTTGTCCAACCTTTATCATGGCCTTTAAAACTTTTTTAAAATTTCCCTGGCAACTAGGGAAAAAATTTCAAACGTACACGGTTAAAAGGTCCTTGTTTATTTTGGCAAACCAAAAAAATAAATAAATAACAAGGCAAAAGAGTCAATTTCCTTTTACACATGAGAAAAATATCCTTGGCACAGAAGATTTCTGTTGTACATGAGTTGAAATATACTTAGCACACAAGAAAGATAGTCTTGATAACAGGAGAAAAAAAATTCCTTGACACGAGAATTTCACTGGCACGCTGGTAAAACTGTTTTGATAGATTTTCATTATACATTTTCCAAAATTCGTACAAGTCACAAATTATTGTGGAAACTGAATGAATGGGACAAAGTAGTCGTGCGAAATCCCTTGTTGTTGTTAAGAGAAATTTCCTATCCTCCAAAACTGTTATTTCCCAAGTCATACCTTGCTTTTGTATTCACTTTTCTTAAAGGGAGTTGCCGGACGAATTGGTCCCAAAGGAAATCCTGGATCTACAGGAATTAATGTAAGTAATACTTGTTAAAACGCGTTAACAAAATTCAGACAACAAAGCAACGTGTCCTTTGTCATGGTCTTACTGCCAGAACGTTTTTTACTAAAATAAGTGCGTTGAAACGAGAGAGAAATTTAAGGAGTGGTCTTACTGCGAGAACGTTCTTCACCAAACTGCCTTGAATCAAGAGATAAATTTAGAGTGAAACTAATCACGTTTTGAGAACTTCAGATTATGTTGGGAGAATGCCTTAGTTTCTAAGTTAGATTGATATGCGAGTGGGAAGCGCAGGCGTCTTTTTTCGTGCTCTCATCTTCGTTTAAGCACAGAAGAAAAATCTTATAGTGAGGAATTATCTATTTACGAGTTTGGGCCCTCCGTGAGAATAAATACCAATTTCTGTGTTCAACTTAATGCTCTCTTTTTAACATTCTGTTCCACTCCGGGAAGTTAATTAAATCAAATGTGTTTTCTTTTCATAGGGTAACAGAGGTGCCTCAGGGTCACCAGGGCGACCAGGATCACAGGGCCCGCCTGTAAGTAGCAATTTCCCTCCTAATTTAGTCAAAATCACATGTCATGGCTTGCGTATTTAAGCCAACGTGCAGCAAAAGTAGAGAGAGCAGCTGAGTGGCCAAGCTGCCCTGATTGGTTTTGCGGCACAGATGATTTGAAAACAAATAGAAACCGAAGGCCCATTGGGTGATCAGCAATCAAAGTAATTGTACGAACTTCTTTCATTGCCTTTGAAAGACAATTTGCCAACTCAGGAATAAACTTAAGAATAATAATTAATTTGTTAATTCGGATCTTTTAGGGACCACCTGGCAACAGTGGTTTGCCAGGACAACCAGGAATCCCAGGAACTAAGGTATGTCAGCGTCAGCGGACAACTCATTGATTTGGCGTATTTAAGGTTTATCTTGGGTGATTACAGGACATTATGTAAGAAGAAGAGAATTCAAAGTTCAAAGGGCTGACTCAACGTAGCACTGGCGTTATTGAGCTCTCAACAGAAAATATTCAAGCAGAAAACCAAGCGCAAGTGGTAGTTCATCGCAGCACTTATTACCAATGAGAAATAGTTGAGCGGATGCACTTGCAAATGAGATGAGTTGCGGCATTTTTACATATTTGATATGTTTCCATAATCAAAACTGGAAGTAAGAAATTGATGGAGAATCGACGCTAAACGAGGCTAGATATCCAAGTCATTGTCACTGTGTACTCACATTCCTAGAGATTGTTAAACGTGCTAGATGGTCTTACTGCTGGAAGCTGATGTTTCGATGGCTTCTTTAAATGTGGATCCCTGCATCACTTGCTACGGAAATTTCGTTGGCACATTGAACTATGATCTAGACCCTCCGAAATTGTTCTAGATGCCCCATTTCCCTGTTCAGTGCAACTTTTTGTTACGTGTTGAGTGTTTGTCAGCAAAGGGGAAGTGGGGCAGTATGTCTTCCTTCCTCTTCCCAGGGGACGCGAAGAAAAGACCTTGGGAACACCCTGGACCGAGTTTTGTGGTGTAGCACAACGTAAATACAAATTTGGTTTTGCATCCTAAACGCTTGAAATATTTGCAGGGCTCGCGTGGCGTTGGTGGTAAACCAGGAACTCCAGGCTTACCAGGAAGACCGGTTAGTTGTTCAAAACAAAAAAATTCTGCATATATACTCCTGTAAGGATTACTAAAAAGCGCGAAAAATGGGAAGGTTTTCGAGCCATTTTGGCTGCTACATTCAAATGAAGAATTGTTTTGTTTTCTAAAGTAGAAAACACCAAAGGAATACACTAAGGTTAAGGATAAATTAGAATTGAAAAGATGAGCACGGATCGCAAATAACGAACTAGAAAAAACTAAGGCCAGATCTTCTAAATGATGGTCTTTTGGTCTTATATTAGGTGAATCCCGAAAAATCAACGTTTAGGTAACAACCCCGCGCCACAAGGGAGAGAACTTCATGCATGAATTCAACCCTTTGATCAACTACAGTTGTAACCTTCTGTCGATGAATTCAAATCAGCCACACTCTAGCGCATATACTTGGTGGATTAATCTATCTGTCAACTTATAATTATTTGATATTAATATCATTATCGTTCATCTCATTCATAGGGGATACCAGGACGTGACGGCCTACCCGGATTATCTGGATCAGATGGAAGACCTGTAAGTACAGTTTTTGGTGCTTTCAAGGGAAGGCTAAGATATGAAAGAACATTTGATCGCACAATTACGTTTTAGATTATTTTTACGAAAGCAGTCTTTTTTGCACGAACAATAAATTCCTTGACGATGACGGCTTTTTTTTGTTCCTAGGGTTCAATAGGTCCAATCGGACCGCGCGGGATTGGGGGAGACAGAGGACCTGAGGTAAATATGAACCATTATGTAAGTTGCTTGTAGAATGCTGATATCTGCAATTGTACCAGAGTACGAAGAGCGTAAAGAACGTTTGCCTATTGATTTTTGACAAAGAAAATTTTAGTCAATTTACGACCGAACACTAGGGGAACATTTGATTTTGTTTCCCGAGAATCTCGATGTTTTTCGGGACGGAGCCGAGGGAGACACGGAAATTTTTTATTGAAACAAAATTTGCTATGTTCTGAGAAATAGTCGTATAATGATTTGTTATAACACACAACAAAAGTCGGAAGTTTCTTGTCAGGACAAATCAGCTAAACGTGATGGAGCTGCCACTACAAGTTAATGCATAAAATAAGTTTGAAACGCGCTAGCACTCCTACACCACCTAACCTACGCCACCTTCAGTCACACTTTGTTCACGTGAAACAGCAGTCGTTGATTAACAGTTGCGGGTGACAGTGCACTTTTACTCACCTACTGAATGGATTTTGCAATGTTGACTTCTGGCGCGAAACAGTCTCGTTGATAGATGTCGTGTGACTTCCAAGTAACCAGTAGGAGCGTTCGCTGTGTGGGAAAACACTCCAGCTTTGTTGCAACTCTCATTGTTGCAAGCTGGGAGCCTTTAAGGAAGTTCTTTTATAGGGGTGTGCATCAGTGAAGAATGACGGAATTTATCTATTGTTTATTTATTATTATTAATATTATTATTATTATCATTGTAGGGCCTAATTGGCATTCCAGGAAGGCGAGGAGGATTCGGTCCCCCTGGAGCAAAGGTTTGGAGCAGTTTTTTGTGTTGTTTGGTTTTTGTATGTTCAGAGAGACTTTAGAGTGTAAAGCTATTTTTAAGGGAGTTTCAAAACGACCTCGGGATATATCTGGGTTTGCATCAATATTTGCTTTTGCACTCGATTGGTCTACGAAAGTCGCGCCTCTCTTTGAACCATCTAGCCATAACTGCGTCATTTGCAATTGCTCGCGTCTTTGTTCAGATGGGCCGTTTACTGCTTTGGTTTCTATTCTTTTTCAAAAAGCGCTATAAGCAAACTTTGACTTCCACACGGCGACCCAATTGCTGTTACTTGAAGGAATTAGGAGTTGCTAATTAGGCTTCGCCTTGACGGAAGTGAGACGAGAATTTCTCCCTAAGTTATCATCCTTTTAAATTTTCTACTCTGCAAAAGCCTTTTATCTTGGTGCCTGCGTTCGTTCAACAGAAGACTCTTGATTATAGAGGATGTTTATACAATGAATATGGTAGGAACATTTTGGTAGTCAGGCCAGTGTTCGTTCGACTGTAGATTACCAAATGGTACGGCGTCCGTTGAACATAGGTTTCACTGTACCCTTTCACTAACTGTGGTGCGAATTTTAGTAGAGATAACGAATTATCTGTAATTTGAATTCTTAGGGTGCAAAAGGAGACCTAGGCTTTAATGGAGCTACTGGCGAGAGTGGACGATCCGTAAGTTTTGGATTTTCTCAGTTGCTGTTAAAGGAGCAGTTCCGTAGGTTGCCGTATCCTAATAACTTTCGATTTTATAATTGTTGCATCCATCATCGCTAATATGAGCAAATTGAATCTCGCTGTTATGTAAACTACTGGCAGAATATCAAACCCTTCTGGTCTGTCAAACTCTGCTGTTATCTGGAGCCCCGCCGACTGTACGTCAAACGCCTTTTGGGATGTTGAAACCTGCACGTATGTCAATCTCTGTCGGCTTCAACACCGTCAGTATCTCGAACCCTGTCGGTATTTGAAACACCTTGAGGATTTTGAACTTAGTTGGTAGATCAAACCAGGAATCGTTAAACCATTTTCGCTGGTTAAGGATAGGCCCGAGAATACAGGATTATACTCACAAAACATAAAGACGGGTATTTTGTGGATCAGTCTTTTTACCTTTAAAACAAGAAAGGACTTAAAGCGGCATGTTTGAAAGAAATTTTATATAGCGTGAAAATGATTTTTTAGGGTTATCCTGGACCTCGCGGCCTTTCTGGAGACAAAGGCGCAAATGGATCACCGGTAGGTCTTAGCTCTCAACTTTTAGTCACGTGCGTATCAAGCGCACATAGTGGTTGGCTAAAGCTCGAAAGACAACTGCCAGGGTTCGTAAAGGCCATGGAAAACCTGGAAGGTCATAGAATTGCGCACAATCATTTTACAGGCCTAGGCAGTCATGGAACGTGATCGTGAGTCTTTGAAAGCCATGGAAAGTAGCCAAATTTTCCTTTTTACTTGGAAAATGGCAAAGAAAAAGTGTATTCTCCACATGATGGTTTTCATTGTACTCTGGGATTCTTCTCTCCAAGTCGTTTGCTCCGTTCCGTCAAACTTGTTATTGAGGAATTTATGTTAATGTTTGTTTCCCTCCCTCCTCGATTAGCTTCGCTGTTTTGCGGGTAGGGATTGTTAGATTGTATTTAAATGCTGAAAATGGATAAAACTTGTTGTTGTTGTTGTTCTTCTTCTAGACCGTAGGTTAGGGGACTCATGTAAAATGTCCATTTGATGATTTCGAAAGAGTAGAAACCCTAGTATATTAAGCCAACAGAAGAAAAACAAGAGTAAATAGACAAGAAGGCAAGATAATCAAGAACCCAGGCACCTAGTTCCACGAACACACGCACTGTTGATCCTTTCTGCATTATTACCTTTTCGTGTGCATCTATTTGCGACAATCAACAACACCACCAGTTACAAAGTGATATACATTTTGTTTGTATACTGCAGGGTACACCAGGAGCGAACGGTGAAAATGGGGAAAATGGTGTAGAGGGTAGCGAGGTAGGAGTCAGTAAAAACACGAGCCTGCGCTTTCGAAAGGCCAGTTGTGATTGTGACTAGTTAAGATTGTTAAAATTTCTTTGGGCGTGTCTAAAGAAGAAATACGCTCTAGGAACAATAAGAAATGAGCTGGTGTTCTCACCTTTTTTTTTTCAGCAAATAAACGTTATGTTACGCGGTTTAAAAACCTTGATTGAAACTCAATCGTGGTGATAATTTTGTTTACTTTTCGGTAGCAAAGATAAAATGTATATAGTTTCTAGAACGTACCCTCTCAATAAGGAAAAACTTTTCGCGAGGTGGTACCTAAAACTGAAGTGAGCAGAAAAAACAGAAGGAAACAACAAGTCTCCTTTTCAAGCTACCAAACTACATGAGACTAATCAAGGTCGGAGCTAGTTGTAATGTGTTTCGAATAAGACCTTGAAGCGGGTTCAGCGATAAAAAAATGATTTCCAAAAGATATAAAGAGTTTACTTTCAAAGATGACGACCAATTAGCAAATTTTCTTTACAGTTTAACTGTTAAGCTTACATGCAGGGAGAAAGAAAATGTCATCAAAAAGATATTTGATTACATAACACAATCTCGCTAGTTAAATCTCTTAAGAAGTTCAGAGGCGAGTTAACTTTGAGATCTTGGATTAATATTGGTAACTGAAATGAGTGGATTGCAGTTTGGTCCGACTGAAGTCATACGAGTGATTTCAAAATCGAACGAGCGCGCAGGACAGGTTTTGTTTGAAATCACAAGTATGATTTCAAAATGGATGTAAGTAAATGGTTTATTATGCTAACTGATGGTCGACCTCAACTAAGATTTGGGTTTGTTTAAAGTTCCTATATCTCGATTCTGATTGTTTACCTCGAACATCTTCATGTTTAGTGTAGTGACCGTTTTAGGGAAAGGTGAACATTTGGCACCAAAAGGACACAAACATGGTGGAATTGCCTTTTGGTGAAATGCATTTGCACAATTTTTGTAGCAGAAAGGATGAAATTTTCACCATTCGTTTTCAAGAATTTCCTGCCCTACAGGAATAAAGATGAGATTGTTAATGCCACCTTATGATTTTTTTCAGGGAGATAACGGTCCCCGGGGATCGCCTGGCGTAGACGGAACTGTGGGAGTTCCCGGACCGATGGGACCCGGTGGGGAGAAAGGAGTACGAGGTCCCCAAGGAGATATCGTAAGTATAGCCATTTAACATTGCTAGGTTTGATTTAAGATGAAAAGTTTTCTTTTTCATGGCTGATTCATTGTGTGGATTATTATACATGCAGGGTGATCCAGGTAGAGATGGCGATTTCGGAGAAACTGGCAGAAGAGGAAATGATGTAAGTTAATATTTTATCTGAGTATTATGTATTTCGAGGTGTTTGATCATTCTCTCTTTTCTTGGTAGCGTCGTTATGTTGCCTTTTAGTAATAGATGCAATCCTCTTAAGAATTGTTGAAATATTCCTCGCTCGCCTCCTTTCCCCCTCTCTAAAGTTTTGCTCATCCCACCGAGCTGTAGGAAACAACTTGTCGCCGTTACTGTACACTACTATCTGAAATTCCGTGACTAATTATCGTGCGTGCCAAGAATAATTGTCATGTGATATATTTCTTACAAATTGACAATAGAAAGCGAAGAGGATTGTAGTTCAACTGAGTCAGCGACACTTTGACGTTCATTGAATTAATAGGTTTATGGAGGAAAAACATAGTGAAATGTTTTTGTAAGCGTCATTTACCAACCCCGGTATTGGTCAAGCACAACTCAGTATTGCTCAAGCACAACCCAGTATTGCTCAAGCACAACCCAGTATTGCTTAAGCACAACCCAGTATTGCTCAAGCACAACCCAGTATTGCTCAAGCACAACCCAGTATTGCTCAAGCACAGCCCAGTATTTCTCAAGCACAGCCCAGTATTGCTCAAGCACAACCCAGTATTGCTCAAGCACAACCCAGTATTGCTCAAGCACAACTCAGTATTGCTCAAGCACAACCCAGTATTGCTCAAGCACAACCCAGTATTGCTCAAGCACAACCCAGTATTTCCCAAGCACAACCCAGTATTGCTCAAGCACAACCCAGTATTGCTCAAGTACAGCCCAGTATTTCTCAAGCACAGCCCAGTATTGCTCAAGCACAACCCAGTATTGCTCAAGCACAACCCAGTATTGCTCAAGCACAACCCAGTATTGCTCAAGCACAACCCAGTATTTCCCAAGCACAACCCAGTATTGCTCAAGCACAACCCAGTATTGCTCAAGCACAACCCAGTATTTCTCAAGCACAGCCCAGTATTGCTCAAGCACAACCCAGTATTGCTCAAGCACAATCCAGTATTACTCAAACACAACCTAGTATTGCTCAAGCACAAACTAGTATTGCTCAAGCAAAACCCAGTATTGCTCAAGCACAACCTAGTATTACTCAAGCACCCTCTCGGTTGTTGAGTACCATAGTGCGTTATAAATTAAGACTGTCTTTCTCTGAGCACAAAATTTTTTCTCTTTCTTAATCCCAGATAGCGATATTTCCTTTAGTCTAAGGGTTACATTTGCATACATTTATTTCTCTTCCGATATGGGAAATTTATCTCCACAACTAAATTTCTTGTACTTTTATGACAACAGGGACCACCTGGTTACCGAGGTAATCCGGGAGAAGTCGGTTTAATGGGATCACGAGTAAGATGTGTTTTTGTTTTGTTTTGTTTCAAGTCAGGAAATTTTAGTTTTTTGTTTTGGTTTTTTCTCATATAAATTGTCCGATTTAACAGTTCATTTAACTACAGAAACTGTAACAAACAACAAAGTTTTCTATGCCACTTTTCCTTTCTTTTCTTAAAGTCCGCATTGAAAGAAATGCTCAGTTAGTTTTTCCCCCCCCCAAAGATGATCGGTTGCCCAAGCAACACTTTAGCTGTTTATGAAGGAACACTTCTACTTTAAATTTATCAGCCTGTAACTCGGAAACAAGATCGCTTACCCGTATTTTTTCCTACCCAATTCGAATCATCGCATGAAGATTCACCTTTCTACAAAGCATAGAGCCAACAGGAAAAATCGAAATATTGAGGTGGCCCTGAAACTTCTCCACAGATTGAAGAGAAAGAGCACATTTGGGTACCCTGGTACCGAACTTGTGCTAAAAATGTTTTTGTTATTTTTTTTTTTGTCAGGGTGACGTTGGATATACCGGTGAAGTTGGCAAGACAGGTCCTCCTGGAGTTGATGTAAATAATTTTATTACTGTTTTTCCCTATCCAGATGTGATTTAAATAATTCCTTTTTACCTTTCTTTCGTTCCTTATACTAACAAACATATGAAATACATATATATGAACTGCGGTTAT